CACGCATCATGTAAATTTTCGTGATGCCCAAGTAAATGCGCGCAATGCAGCAAGGATATATGGGTGCGACGAACTTATTTTTGACTCTCATAACATCAAAACAAACGCTGGCAGCCCTACTGACTTCATCATAGCGTATGCTCAAAACAGGACAAAGAATATGGGCAATTACAAAAACTCGACTCGGATTGACTCGGCTAATAATCGATGGTGCTTGGATCTTCTAGCGCTTTGCTCTGCCAACACTACTTCGCGCTTTGCTCTGCCAACACTACTTCGCGATGTCGCTTGCTGGAACTCTGCCAGAAACGCTGAGTAGTGCTGCCCAGTATCTGGCGGCTGAATTGCGTGGCCGGGGAGTGATGAGTTGGTGCATTGGACGTGGTTGGGAGGTGTTGGTTGGTAGTTGCCCAGAAACAGCTCAGAGGGCGCGATTGAGGCCAGGATGGTGGGGAAGAATGAAGTTGCCGGTCAGGAGTTCAGGGCGACAAACAGTGATAGTGGTTGGAGGTGATAGGTGCCCCAATGCAGCTCTGGAGGCAGGGATTGGGGACAGGGTACAGGAGGGAAAGAAGAGTGCTAGTTAGGAGTTCGAAGCAAGAACTGCTGATAGCAGTAAGGAGGAAAATAATCCAACGCGGCACTACAAAGAAAAGTAAATTAAAACAAACCCGAATTTTCGAATAAGAAGAAAGCAAAATCAGAGCCTGTAGCCAAAAACAAAATAAGCAAAAGAAAACAAAAATTGAGCTTATGCGTGTAGGAACTGTCTTACAAAAACCCGTCTTCATTAAGCTGTACTCATACTTATGAGGTTTATGCTTGGGTGAAGCTGAGAGCAAATAAGATCCACAGGATTTATTGAAACTTATGCTTAGGTGAAGCTGAGGTCTAATAAGTTTGTAAGGATTTACTGAAACTTATGCTTAGGTGAAGTAGAGGGCCAATAAGTTCGGTTGGATTTACACAAGAATTGCAGACAATTCTACAGTGTTGCTTCCTGCAGCCTGCAACTTTGCGTAACAGTTATACCTCTATTTTTTCCCTTCGAAATCTCACGCCCATCTAGTCTACCCTACTCTTGCTCACTTCATGGAACTTATTAACTCTCAGCTTTACCTAAGCAACAGTTTCATAAATAGTGAAGCCTAATGACGGTTTTTTTTTGCAACAACTTTAATTAAGCATCAGTTTCATAAATAGGGAAGCCTAATGACGGTTTTTTTTGGATCAGCTTTACCTAGGCATCAGTTTCATAAAAAGAAAAGTCCTCCACTGATGACGGGTTTTTATTGATCATTTTCCACTAGCAAGCCTCACTTTCTTTTCCTTTCATTCATGATGTCGGATTTGCTTTAATTTACTTTTATTTGTGTGCGCTGTGTTGCCTTTTTCTCTTTACTGCTGTCTCCATTTCTTGCCTCCAGCTCCTGACTTGCACCCTTGTTCCCTTTCTCTGTCTGTCCCAAATCGTTCTAACAAACAAGTTATAGACCCCTGTCCATCTCTACTGTGACATCACTGTCCAGGCAAACAGTATTTCACCCTTCCCTGCCCAAAGCATCTGTGGTAAAAAACGGAAGCACACTTCCTCATCCTTTCTGTTCATTATCGTTCCCCTTTCCCCTCGAAATGTACGTCACTTAGTTAGTCGACAAAGGATTTACGCCGTTTAGTCCTTACATTCACCCATCCTAGCCCTCCTCCCTGTCTCGAAGAAACCCGCCACATATTACCCCGCTTCCACTTGCCGCATTCAAACAGCCGCCATTCGCCGCAG